ATTACCTATTTTCCTGTGATGTGTCTATGTCTGTGTGAGTGTATGTTCGTCTGTGTGGGGCTGGGCATACCCTCAGATGCCAGAAGAAAGCACCGTGGAGCTGGAGTTACAGAGATTTGTTACCCACTCAGCCCTGGTGCTGGGTTTGGATTTGCATTCTTGTCCTCATGTTTGATCAGCAGGTGGTCCTAACTGCTGAGCCACCTCTTCAGTGCCCCCCTGACTCCAGCATCCTTTGAGACAGGATTTAACCTACTTCAGGCAAGCTTTGCTCCCTAGGACACTAAGGGTGGCCTCTCACATGGATAAGATTGCCCTTGGAGTCCAAACCTCAACCTCTACCTTTTAAGTTCTGTGAATACAGCCTTGCCTTACCAGGCTCCTTGAACATATATGACTTTCTGGGGCCTTGTGGTAGCTGAGAACTAGAGAGACACAGAAACAAAATTAATCTTCCCTGACTCTGGAGCTGGACAAGCGACACTCCCCAGCCTCCACACAGGAAACTTGGCAAGACGACATGTCAACTCAGAAACCAAAATTTGAGATCTCTGTGGCCTGGTAAACATCCAACCCAGGGGGCTGAATTTTAATTTATTTGCATTGAAATCGCCACAGTTCTGCCAGGTGGTGGTGGTACATGCCTTTAATACTTGGGAGGCAGAAGAAGGCACATCTCTGTGAGTTCACAGCCCACCTGGTCTACACAGCAAGTTCCAGGACAGCCAAGGCTACACAGAGAAACCCTGCCTTGAAAAGCCAAAACAACCCAAAACCAAAACCCAAAACTCAAAAACCAACCAAACAAAAGCCACAGTTCTGCATGTCCAGGTTCAGTTGAACACAGTCTAGTCTATATTAGACTCTGACTCAATAAATAAATAAAAAATAATAATCACATATGTATGAGTGGTTGGTTATACTGGTTAGCAGCGTAGCCATGGACCGTCTAAAGGGCAATACCTGAAACTCACCATGATAGCTCAGAAGAGAATTCAGGATGGCAGGAAATATGACAAGAGGGGGGATATACTTGAAGGTTATTGAGGGGAGAGTGAGGGGTGGGTGTACACGCGCAGAACAGTGTTAACATACAAATCGCCAGTCTGTTCACAAAAAATGATAAATGTCTGAAAAGATAGTTACATTAGCCCTGGTGATTTCACTGTATCCGTAAATATGTACAATTTTTTGTGTCCATTTAAAATTTTTAAGAAATAAAAAGGGGGTAGGGGTGGGGATATCGCTTAGTTGGCAAGGTGCTCACTCTCTAGTGTGCTCCAAGTCCTGGTTTGATCTCCAGCACGCATAGCCAGGTTCCTGTCATTCTGGAAGTGGGGTGGAGGCAGCAGGGTCAATGATTCAAGGTCATCTTGTGTTACATTTAGGACTTCAAGGGCAGCCTTGGCTACACAGGGAAACCCTGTCTTGAAGTACAAAACAAGACAAAAGATGGCGTATGAGTGTTTTGCTTGCATATATTTTAATCCCAAAAATTCGAGGAGAAAGACCACTGACACAAATCATGGCCAAATTCATTAATTAAAGCAAGTAAATAATAATAATAATAATTATTATTATTATTATTATTATTTGGTTTTTTCGAGACAGGGTTTCTCTGTGTAGCCCTGGCTGTCCTGGAACTCACTCTGTAGACCAGGCTGGCCTCGAACTCAGAAATCTGCCTGCCTCTGCCTCCCAAGTGCTGGGATTAAAGGCATGCACCACCACCGCCCGGCACAAGTAAATAATTAAAGCAAACATTTTTATTGGTGTACACAGGCTTCTAGCCCCTAAGGCAGGATTCCAGAGGTCAGCATTGGATATGAAGAAGATAGGCTTTTATAGATCAAGGGTAGGGGTTTCCAAGTGGGGCATATGGGAGGCAAAATAGGCAAAGTTATAGCAGAATGCAAGCATAACAAGTTAGTCATAATGACCATCTGAAACACAACCATGGTTGCAAGGTGGTGTTACAAAGTAGTCCTAACAACAGGTACTTATAACAACCTTTTCAAACAAAGGTAGAGTTGTAAATTGGTTATAAAAGGTTTTTTTGAAACAAAGACATGGTTACTGTGTCCTGGGACAGGCAGTATAGAACCATTTGTAGTTAAGGTCACAAGTGGGACATGGCCTAATCCTTGAGAAACCTGTTTAATGACAAACAGGATGAGCCCAGTTTGTGTTTACTATAAGATAGCTTTCAAGCCTAAGATGGAGGCAGGCTGGTTCATCAATTTGCCTGTGTACTGAGTGTGTTCCTGGTGCCTGCTGAAGTCAGAAGAGGGTGTGATCCCTGGAACTGGAGATACAGATGGTTGTGAACTGTCATGTGAGTACTGGAGGTTAAACTCACATCCTCCAGAAGAGCCACAAGTGTTCTTAGCCTCTGAGACACACACACACACACACACACACACACACACACAATTTTTTTTTCTTTTACTAGTTGTTTTAGGGTTTTACTGATGTGAAGAGACACCATGACCAAGGCAACTCTTATAAAGGAAAACATTTAATTGGGACTGACTTACAGGTTCAGAGATTCAGTCCATTATCACCAAGGTGGGAACACGGCAACATCCAGGCAGGCATGGTGCAGGAGGAGCTGAGAGTCCTACATCTTCATCTGAAGGCTGGTAGTGGAAGACTCGATTTTAGACAGCTAGGATGAGGGTCTTAAAGCCCACAGACACAGTGACACACCTACTCCAACAATGCCACATTCCAAATAGTGACACTCCCTGGGCCAAGCACATACAAACCATCACACTAGAGTTTTCACACTTGAGAGAATTGCTCTGTAATATTGGGTGGTGTGGGGGTTACAAAGTTCCTAGGAACTTGTAATGTGCGCTGCTGGCCACAAGGTGGCGCCAAAACCACATCTTACTCTTGGGAGTCTTTTATTAGTTTGTCTGGCTGTGTAGACCAGATTGGCCTTAAAGGTTTCTGGCCTTGGCCACTGGAGTGCTGGAACTACAAGCATGTGCATTGTTGCTCCTCAAGACTGAGGCTTTTAAAAAAATTACAACAGCAAACATTAGATAAAGGGCAACCAGAAAGGGGCCATTCTGTCTGAAGGAACCAGTCTGGGGTCAAGGTGGCCTGCTGTGTCCCCAGTATTTTCTCTGTGGATCAAGATGTCTTTGCACCTTTAGGAAATTACATATAGGACAAAAGAATTGACAAGTGTCAACCTAATTGATTTTAGGGCACAGGGATCAGAAGATGGCTCAGTTCATAAAAGTATTTACCCACGAGAGCATGGAAATTCCTGTTTTGTTTGTTTTTTGAGTCAGAGTCTTGCTACATAGCTCTGGCTGTTCTAGAATTCATTATATAGATCAGGCTGGCCTGAAACTCGTGAAGACCTGTCCAGTCTGGTTTGAAGTTTGCAATCCAAACTTTGGGTGAAAAACAGACTAATCCCTGGTGATACCTGCCAGCCAGTTTTAGTCTTTGGTGTCACTGGCCACCCAGCCTAGCCTAACCTCGGGACAGAGACCTTTTCTTAGAAAATGAGAAGATCACCTAAGGACAACCCTTGAGGTTAACCTCGGGTCTCCACATGCATGTGTCCCTTCACACACATCCCATGAACATGAACATACAACCCAGCTACCTACAAATCAGGCTACTTGTCAGGAATATATCCTCAACTACATAGGTACAGGCTAGTCTAGGGCAACATGAAATTTTTGTCTTTAAAAAAAAAAATCAGAGGCTGAGCAGAGTGGGACATACCTCTGATCCCAGCACTCAAGGAGCAGTGTTGATGGATCTCTGAGTTCAAGACCAGCCTAGTCTATACAGTGAGTTCCAAGCCAGCTAGGACTAGCTGTATGCCATATAAATAAAGACCTTGTCTTTAAAACGGAAGAAATATTCATACAGGGCCTCAGTACATAGCCAAAGTTGGTCTCAAAAGCCTCCTCACTCAGAAGCCCAAGTCCTTGAATTGCAGGCACGTCACCGTGCTCAATGACCTTTTCAGAGTGTGACCCAGCATGTGTAAGGCCCTGGACTCCACCCCCAGCCTTGAAAGAGAAAAATATCACTAAGTGTTGAATAAAAGTGTTAACAAAAGAATTCAGATCTTAGCACTTGAGGCAGAGGCTGGACAGATGGCCCAGTGGTTAAGAGCACTTGCCATTCCTCCAGAGGACCAGGGTTCAATTCTTGGTGCTCACACAGTCGCTAATGACCACTTGTAACTCCAGTTAAAGTGTATTCACTGCCATTACCCTCTCTTTGGGCACCAGGCACGAATGTGCACAAAGATGTGCAGAAAGAAAAAAAACCCATACACAAAAAATTGCTGAGACCTGCCTCCATCCCATCAAACAAAACAAAACAAAAAAAACAAAAACAAAAAACTCCAAGGTCATAATACACCTTAATCACATAAAATTATGCAAAAGAAAAACATCAGGCTATTAGGAACCAAATTCTCAGCTGGGGCCTTTGACTTTTTCTGTCTTTATTGCTAACATGGAAGTAAAAGCTCAAAGTCTGTAGGTGCAAGCTTTCTCTCCAGGTGTCAGTATCAGGTGACACATGGTCCACTAAATGTGTAGAGAGCTTAGTTTCAGTGCTGGAGAGGCTCAGGTAGGAGGGAAATGAGTTCAAAGGCAGCCTGGGCTACACACACACACACACACACACACACACGTAGGAGGTCTGTTTTACTGTTAGATATTTCACTTGTTTTGATGTACCCGTCAACAGAAGTCAACAAAAGATCCAGGAGGCTGACCAGTGTAGGCGTCCAAGATGATGCAGGCTGGCTATCCAGGGCCCCTGGCACATTCTGCTCAGTTCCGTGATCCATGCAAAGCTCCAAGACCTTGAGTATGACACATCTACACTGTCTCCTAGACAGGTTTCTTAGTCTGTGGTGCCCGCCCTCACCCCAGACCTTATTCTGCTGCTACTTGGCTCAAAGAACACACAATAGGAGGAACCCCAAGGGATTGGATTCTGGGAAGGCAACATCTTTATATAAATTATCTTTATTTATATGGCATACAAAAGGTATAAATAGGATTCATGTAAAACCTGCACACTCAAGCTCCGAGTCCGTCAAATTCGAGTATACAGCTCTCTAAGCAGGACAGAAAGGTCAGACCCGGTGGCCCGTAGGCCCAACCCCTGTAAGTGGAGACCAGTGAGCAGCTTTCAGCTCAACAAAGGTGGCTTTGCCAGGGAAAGTGGATGGCAGAGGTGTGTCAGGTTTCGGAGCACATTTATGAACAAGGCACTTAACGGGAAGCATGCCTGAGGCAGAACAGTGACATCTGAAGGGACAGGCAAGACACTGGGTCAGCACAGGCCTGATCTTCCAGATCTCACGTCATCACGTCATCACGCAGCTGTGTGATGCTCAGCAGGGAGCAAGGGAAGGCAGGGAGGCAGGGACCTCCTCCACAGAGGTAAAACCATGGAGCAGTCGCCAGCGACCCTTCACCCATGCTGGGAAGCAGTTTGGGAGTAGGGGACCACTGAAGGTAGACCCAAAGTTTTTGAATTCTCAAGTTCAGGTGCATTGTAGGCTGGGGAGCTTGAGGAATTTGTCATGATTCGCTGGGAGATGTCCATGATCTCAAAACCTCAGTGTACCAAGCAGTGTCTGTCTGCACTGGTGTGGGACAGGCTTCGAGGCTGGAGGACAAAGCTGACAGGCAAGGCCTGTGGAGCGTCAGCAAGGCGGCCTTCTCACCAAGACTCTTGCTGTCTCTAACAAGACCCTAGATTAAGACACTGGAGAGTGAGGACCCCAGAGACCTGGCCACAGTCATGCTTCTGAGATGGCTGCCCACCAACCCGCTCTGAGGACAAGCAATAGGGAGGCTGGGACAGCAGAGCCTTTCAGACCCACAAACAAGTTAGTGTCACATGCCCCATGATGGCAGATGACACTTTACAGCCATCATCTCAGTGAGGCAAAAGCTACCAAGAGTGGATTCAGCAAGAATTCCTCTTAAGAGTCAGTCTGTTGCCAGGAATGGTAGTATACGCCTTTAATCCCAGCGCTTGGTAGGCAGAGGCAGGTGGATCTCTGAGGCCAGCCTGGTCTACAGAACAAGTTCCAGGACAGGCAGAGCTACACAGAGATCCATGGGAAAAATTAAAAAAATAAAAATAAGCTCAGTCTGTGGCTACTGAAAAGTAAACCATGCCCTCTCCCCACTCGTGTTCTGGAAGACGATCCAGCCTTGGAGGACAGGGACACGATCCAAGGCAGGCCTGCAAACCAGAGTCACAGGCCAGAGTAGGCCAATGCCCTCTTTGTAAATAAAGTTTTATTGGGACACAGCTACACTCTTTGTGCACCAACTAGTTATGGCTGTTTTTGTGCTAAAGAAGCTGACTGGAGTCAGTACAAGAGACACTATGAGATCGTTGGCTGAGAAAGTCTGCTGGCCCTGGGCTAAAGGCATCTGAGGAAACAGCCCCCTTTTGAAAGGGTCTTCAAAAAAGGAGGCCCAAGGATCTAATCATTAGAACCTGATTCTGTTGGAAGTGCCCGAGCACACGAAGGCTACACTCACCACAGAGAATCTGTGGTGCAGTCAGGAGACACCAGTGTGCCTGGGTGTCTACCTCCCTGTGCTTTAAACTATCTCTCACCCATGAGAAGCTGTAATCTTTGACCAGGTCTCTGAAGTTCAGAGAAGGCATGAACAAGTGTGTGGATGCACGTGTTCACGTGTGTATGTGTATGAATGTATAAACACACATACACACATTCACACACACACACACTCGATCATTCCCTAGAGGGGCAGAATGTTGCTCTTCTTGTGCTGGGGCAGGGGCAGGGGCAGAGGCAGGGGCAGCAGCTTTCTGCTCCTGAAGGCTCTGTGGTGAAGGAATCCCCTCCTTGCTGCTTCTCATTCACACGCCAGCTTGCTGTCAAAGCTGGATAGCCCAATGGCGAAGGCTTGGAGTGCGCACAGTGGGTAGTTATAGTCCAGTGTGAAGACGTCGTCAGCCACGCGCCCAAACTGCATGACTATGTAGTCAGCTGGAAACAGAAAGACATGAACCCGTTAGAGCCACAGTTCCCAGCCCGTGCGCCGAGAGTCCTCTGTGGGTTGAGCAACCCTTTCACAGGGCTCGCGTGTCAGATAAACCACATTACGATTCGAGACAGTAGCAAAATTACAGTTATGAAGCAGCAGTGAAAATAACCATATGGTTGGGGGTCACCACGATGCGAGGAACCGAGGACAGGATGGCAGCAGTGTTGGGGAAATTGAGACCCACACGGTATTGGAGGTTAATGTGGTCGTACTAGGAGGTGTGGGTTCTCTTTAAAATAGGCAATGGAGGGATGGGGGAAATGGCTCAGTGGTATAGCACCTGCCAGGGATGTGGTGGTGGAGATACTAAGTTCTAGCCCTAGCCTCACACACAAAGAAAGAAAGAAAGAAAGGAAGGAAGGAAGGAAGGAAGGAAGGAAGGAAGGAAGGAAGGAAGGAAGGAAGGAAGAAAGAAAGAAGGAAGAAAGCTTGTGTCTGGGTGTGGTGGTGCATACTTGCTATCTTAGCACTCAGGAGGCTGAGGCAGGAGGATCACAGCTCAACCCACTGGGACTACAAGGCGTGACCCTGTCTCAGAAAGGTAAAGCCATTCAATTTTCTATGTCTGTTCTGCTCCCTACAGACTGGGAAATTATTCCTGACTAGCATGGCGGGCAGGAAGAAAGCCTAGGGAACCTGGTGGGACCAGAGGACAGGCTGCAGTCAGTCACCCAGTCAGTCACCGGCTGGCTTTCATGAGGTCACTTGCACCTGGGTCCTAATGGCTTCACCCAACAAACAGTCCTTTGATGTACCACGGGAAGGCGCTCACCCTCCTGTCACGCCTCCTCTCACGCCATGACGCTCTTCCCAAGAGATCATTTTTCAATCACTCCCTCCTGGACGGCTTCCAGGCCACCATGAACACGGTCACTTCGGAGCCTGTGCAGGGTACATCTCCCAATCCCACCCAGCCCTTCCCTGCACTTACGGTCGTTCCCGTGGACTATCTGGAAGTTCTTCACTGATGCCTGGGTGACTCTGCCATGAAAGTTCAGGACGTAGGACTGGGTGTCATCGTTCCACACCGGGGCCTTGTTGTGCAGCTCGATCAAGTTCTCCATGGATTTGTTCTGCCATTTTGAAAGCAAGCTCTCATGTTCCTATGAGAGGGAAAACGACTTTGTCATTTACTCACAATCCTGAGAGTCAGGGAAAAGGCCCACTTCCTCACCTCAGAAAGGTTGAAACGACATCAGAGGACCAAAGGCAGACAGCAGCACAAGCTATGGGAGTCATTTTTTTTTTAATTTAATTTTATTTTTTACTTATTCACTTTACACCCCACTCACGACTCCTAGTCACCATGGAATTCCTTTTTAAGGCCTTTTTTTTTAATTACTGATTTTTGTTTTAATTTGAAGTTATAGGTAATTGTGAGCCACCACGTGGGAACTGGACCTGGGAATTAAACTTGACCTCTGGGAGAGGAACCAGTGCCCTTAACCACTGAGCCATCTCTCTAGACCCAGCCTTGAGATTCTGATGTTCTAGCATTTCTTAAATCAACATCCTATTCTGGGGACCGGGAGCAGCGGCTTTCCTGATGAATGGTAAGAGAAGCAGTCCAGCCTGCTTTGTCCCTTCCGTTTCCAGAAAGCAGTGTCTTAAATTGGTCTCTGCTGCACTGTATGACTGCATTAAAGGTGTATTACTGTGTTTTAGAGACCTTTGATGGTGGAATATAATTTCTCTTCTGTCTTTGAGACCTGGTTTTATTGGGAATATGTTTTTACTTACGTTTCGTGGTCGGAACGGGATGCGTTCATGATTCATATTCATCCCTGGAATGATCACAGACATTTTCCTAGGGCCTTTGAAACCGAGAACGTTTGTTTCCTGAAAGACAGTAAAGTCAGGCAGAATTTGGAAACAGAAGAGAAAAAGAAACTGTTCTACTTTACAGGCAATTTCTTCTGGCACAGAAAATGCTGCCTGCACCAAGAGCACCAAAACCAGTTCCGTTTCCAGAGACCAAGAACTGGACACAGGAAGCCAGGCGTGGTGGCACAGACCTGCGCACATGTGTCTTAGCATGTGGGAGGCTGACATGAGAAGACTGCTTAAGGCCAGGAGTTTTGGGCTAGCCTAGGCAAAATAGTGAGCCCTGGTCACGGGAGGAAGGAAAAAAGGAAAGAAAAGAAAGCCAGTCGTGGTGGTACACACCTTTAATCCCAGAATTCAGCAGGTTGAAGCAGGAAGGTTGAGAGTTTGAGGCCAGCCTGGAATATGCAGGAAGGCTAGGGCAGACAAGGAGACCCTGTCTAGAAAGAAAAAAAAAAAAAACAACAACGAAAAAAAAAAAGGAAGAAGAAAGAGAGAAAGAAAGAAGGAGGAGCAGAGGGAAGGAGGGAAAGATTAAATGCAAAGAGATGGCTTTAGTCTTAATTTATGTTTTATTGTATTGTAGCCTCTGACCAAAGTGTAAGCATCAGGGAAGGGAGGCTAATGCAGAGCTGAGCATAGCTGAACCTGGTGATCTAAATCCACCTGAAATGATGCCAGCCCCTAGAAGGGGGTCAAGGAAACAAGGGAGGAGGAGTGAGAGGAGCCGGCTTGGGGCCTGGCGGGCATGCAGGAGGGCACAGTGGGGAGCACCAGGGGAGGCAAGAGGAGCACTTACATAGCAAATGGCAGCCAGCTCCTGTCGAGTGTGGGCCTTCTCCACCAGACCCTGGGCCTTGACAGGGTTGACACCATGGTCATACACTGTGAACTTGGTCCCCATGAGATTGGATCTAGTATCGGGAGAGAAAGCTGCCATGATGATCCACAGTCTTCCCTTCGAGGACAGAAGTAGTAGGGAGACCTGTCTGCCTGCTCGCCGATGCCAGCACGGACACCATTTGATATTTTCTTCTTAAAGATTTTTATTTTAAAGAATTTAATATGAATAAATAATTTTATTAGTGATTTATTAACAATAAATAATTTAATAAGATAAATTACATTATTCTTTTAGTTTTCGAGACAAGTTCTCTCTGCATATCCCTGGCTGGCCGGGAACTCATGCTCCATGTGCTTCCAAGCTCTGGGTCAAAGGTGTGCACCACTATGCCTCAAGAGTTTCTTGTAACATTTTGCCTTTTGGTATTTCAAGAGAGGGTTTCTCTGTATAGCCCTGGCTGTCCTGGAACTCACTCTGTAGACCAGGCTGGCCTTAAACTGAGATCCACCTGCCTCTGCCTCCCAAGGACTGGGATTAAAGGTGTATACTACCACCACCCTGCTTATTTTTTTTCTTTTTAAGATTAACACAGCTATGTATTTGAATCATGAAAAAAAAATAGCAAAAGCTAGAGATGTTGTTCAGTGGTAGAGCAGCTGCATACCAAGTGTAAGGCCTCAGGTTTAATCCCTAGTAACAAAGAAGGGTACGAGCTGACCAGACTGGAGGCAGGGTGTTGGAAGGGGGGCTGGGGTGGGGGAGGAAGGATACAACAGTCATTACTCTGAAATCACAGAACTACAGAAGGACCAGACCAGTGATCTGAGGCTCTGTCACCTGAGTTTGCCGATGTAACTTTCTCCTTCACGAGACAAGTCTGTTGGGTCCGTGGAGACCAGGTAGTTTGATGTTTTGCTCTTTTTCCGCTTCCTACCAGCTAGAAGAAATATCTGAGGAAAGAAAAAGGCCAGTCGAACAGAAGTCCAGTGAGTCCACAGTCTTTATCAGTACCCTATCACATGCAAAGAAATCGATCTTGGGGCCCAGCATGGTGAACCTATAATCCAGGCACTGAGGAGGCAGAGGCAAGAGGATCTCTGTGAATTTGAAATTCTACAGAGTGAATTCCAGGACAGCCAGGGCTCCACAAAGAGACACTGTCCCAAAAAACAAGGACAAAACAAAAAAAACTCAACCAAACAAAAAAACCAACCAACTAACCAAACAACCAACCAACCAAACAAACAAACCAAAAAGCCCCATAAAAATAAGTAAATATACAAATGAAAGCCAGCACTCAGTGAGGCAGCTCAGTGGTAGGTCAGTGGTGGTCAGCTCAGTGGTGGTCAGCTCAGTGGCAGGTAAGCTCAGTGGTAGGTAAGCTCCACCAGGGCAGGAGGCTGAGCCCCACCCTAACACAGGGAAACACTTCTACACTTGAAGGTGGGCAGTGGTGAGGGACTGGAGAGCCTGCCCTTGCCTATGATGACACTAAGCACAGGACTTCTGGGCACACGACCCACTGTCAGGTGCTGTGTGGTCTAACCAGAGGGACTTCCTGGACATAATCAACTCTGCAACAGCCTTGTCCTCTCGGGAGCAGCTCGGGCTCAGGATGTGGCTTGATGGAGCGGTACCTGCCGAGCACGCGTGACGTTTTATTCCTAACGCTGGAAGGACACGGCCTAGGACAGACCCCGTACCTTGCGGTTCTCCTCCTTCTCCAGGTGCATATAGTAGGTGGGGAAGAGGCCACGGTCCATGCCTTTCTTATCCCTGGTTACTCTACACTTCACCGTGACACCCCGAGGGGCAGGACTATACGCAAAGTCCTCTAAATCCTCCACTTCTCCGAGCTGGGCATCACCCTGCTGGGCTGTCACACCGGAAGCTCCGGTCTCCTGAAAACAGAGTTCAATGTGAGCAACCAGAATTGGGCAAAACCGTCACCCCTGCAACAGACACTTCGTGGACAAAACCCTCTGGCTCTCCCAACCTTGTCTCCAGTCCTCTGGCAAGGGGCGACCTGACGGGACAAACAGGGAATCAGGATCCCTGAGGTAAGGTGTCTGGGGACAGTCCCACTAGCTGCTGCTTCAGCACAACATACCGAGGCTGCTTTCTGGCTGGCTGCAGCACTCTCCTTCTCTGAACGAGCTGATGGGGAGCTGGGGTTGTCCCCATCTTCCTCTTCGTCAGGCTCCTCGTCGTAGTTCACACTACTCAAGATGCCTGGCAAGAAGCGAGACACTGTCAGCAGCTGCCAACTGTGACTGGAAACGATCATATTAGAAATAAAGAATATGGAGGGACCCCAGGTAAGACCCCACCCTATGCCTGCCAACTCCCCTTAAAGCACACTGAACTGCTGTAAACTGTACCCTACCACCTGGGCCCCACGTTCTGTCCTATGACTTCAGTAGAAGACCTCTGCTTTCCCAGAGCCCATGCAGGTTCTAGGGACTGGAGAGACAACTTTGGTACCCAAAACCCCAGAAGTCAAACAGACCACAAAATACCCCGCCAGAGACAACCTACCGAACCTGAAGTCTTGTGTGGTCATCAGAAGCCCAGGCCACTCAGGCCAGAAGACCAGAAAGGAAACAGAAACCAAGGGGAAAAACAACCAAAAAAATACCCATCTAACAAAGGTAAACTCAGAAATTAGCATCTAAACCTACAATAACGGCAAACCCAGACAACTAGGGGTGAGTGTCAGAACACTGTCAGAAACAGCCAGGGTACCACTTATGACAGCCATCCTATTACAGCAAGCCCTGGATATCCCAATATAGTTGATGAAACACAAGGAAATGACCTGAATTCCAATCTTATGAAGATGATACAGGCCGTTAAAGAGGAAGTGACTAAATCTCTTTATAAAATATAGGAAAATATAATCAAACAGGTAAAGAAAATGAATAAAACTGTTCATGACCTGAAAATGGAAACAGAATAGCAGAATAAGACACACACACACACACACACACACACACACTGAGGCAACGCTGGAGATAAAAAACCTAAGTAAGCAAACAGGAATTACAAACACAAGCATCACCAGTGGAATATAAGAGAATCTCAGGTGTAGAAGATATGTGATAGACGAAATCGATATGTCAGTCAAAGAAAATGTTAAATCAGGCTGGAGAGATGGCTCACCGGTTAAGAGCACTGATTGTTCTTCCAGAGGTCATGAGTTCAAATCCCAGCAACCACATGGTCGCTGACAATCATCCGTAATGAGATCTGATGCCCTCTTATGGGGTATCTGAAGACAGTGTACTTATATATAATAATAATTAAAAAAAAAAAACCTTTGGGCCGGAGCAAGCAAGGCTGGGGCAAGAGGGAGGGGCGGGGGAGATGCCTAACCCAGGAAACCTGGGATACCATGAAAAGACCAAACCTAAGAATAATAGAAAGAGAAGAAAAGGGCTGGAGAGATGGCTCAGCGGTTAAGAGCACTGACTGCTCTTCCAGAGGTCCTGAGTTCAAATCCCAGCAACCACATGGTGGCTCACAACCATCCGTAATGAGATCTGATGCCCTCTTCTGGTGTGTCTGAAGCCAGCTACAGTGTACTCATCAATAAAAAATAAATAAAAAAAAAAAAAAAAAAAGAAAGAGAAGAAAAGGAGTTCCAGCTCTAAGGCCCAGAAAATATTCTCAACAAAATCATAGAAGAAAACTTTCCTAACATAAAGAAAGAGATGCCTATGAACATACAAGAAGCTTATAGCACAGCAAATAGATTGGACAAGAAAAGAAAATCCCCACACCACATAATAACCAAAACACTAAATGTACAGAACAAAGAATATTAAAAGCTACAAGGGAAAAAGGCCAAATAATATATAAATGCTGAGCTATTAGAATTATACAAGACTTTTTGTTTGTTTGTTTGTTTGTTTTGTTTTTTGAGACAAGGTTTCTCTGTGTAGCCCTGGCTGTCCTGGAACTCACTCTGTAGATCAGGCTGTCCTCAAACTCAGAAATCCTTCTGCCTCTGCCTCCCAAGTGCTGGGATTAAAGGCATGCACCACCATTGCCCAGCTATACAAGACTTCTCAACAGAGACTCTAAAAGCCAGAAGGGCCTGGGCAGATGTCTTGCTGACTATAAGAGACCACAGATGTCAACCTAGCCTACTATATGCAACAAAACTTCAATTACTATAGGTGGAGAAAACAAGATAAAACAAAACAACATGACAAAACAAAATTTAAACAATGCCTATCCATAAATCAGTTCTACAGAACATACTAGAAGGAAAACTCCAACCCAAGGTTAACTAGATCCAAGAAAACATAAAATAATTTTACATCAGCAAAAACAGATGAAGGGAAGCAACACACACACACACACACACACACACACACACACAACCACCACCACCATCAAAATGACAGGAATTAACAATCACAGGTCATTAATATATCTCAATATCAATGAACTCAATTCCCCAGTGAAAAGACACAAGCTAACAGAATGGACTCGAAAACAAGATCCATCCTTCTGCTGCATAAACACAACTCAACATCAAAGACAGACACTCCCATGAGCAAAGAGCTAGAAAAAGATTTTCCAAGCAAAAAGGTTCAGAAGCTAGCTGGTGTAGCCTGTTGAGGGTAGTCTTAAACGCTATCACCTTTTCTTGGATGGTTGTGCTACCAACTCCTTCTGGCTTCCCTTTTGCTTTACCCACCTTTAGCTCCCACCCAAGACCCTTGGATAAAAGACACACACACAGTTTCTTACTTTACAACTTGCCTTCTAGGCACAACTGCTGGGTGCAGATATCTCCCAGCTGGAAAAGTGTGCCTTTACCAATTTATTATCCCCGTCTCTCCACCTCCCCTAATCTTAGTGGCTAGTCCCACCTAACTCCTGCCAAACACCCTTGGGCACCTGCCTGTTGTGGAGGCCGCAGGCCCTAGCTCCCTCCAAGGCCTTACATTGTTGTTTCGTTCTTCTTCCAACAAAGCATGGCTGAAAAGCCCCTCTCCTTCTCTGTGTCTGTCTTTTCCCTCCTGGGATTTGGAAGTCCTGCTTGAACCTTCAGCCCAGCAATTGGCCCTTGGCTTTCTTTATTGACAAATCAAGAACCAATTGGGGAACATTAGCATCAGAACCTCCCCTTACAGTAGCCATTATAATAATTAACAAAATAGGCCTTAATTAATTCATCAAAAGAGATGGGGAAAGACATTTCATACCCATCAAAGGAATAAATCCACCAAGATGATGTCTCAGTTCTGAATATCTATGCCCCAAATGTAGGGGAACCCACATTGGTTAAAGAAACTTTACAAAAGCTCAACGCACACATCGAACCTCACACATTAATAGTGGGAGACATCAACATCCAAGGTCATCCAGACGGAAACTAAACAGAGAAATAACGAAACTAACAGATACTATGAATCAAACAGACCTGACAGATACCTACAGAAGATTTTACCCAAACACAAAACATACCTTCTTCTCAGCACCTCATAGTACTGTCTCCAAAACTGACCATATAGTCAGTCACAAAGCAAGCCAGATAGAAGAAAACTGAAATAACCACCTGTATCTTATCAGACCACCATGGAGCAAAGGTAGACTTCACAAACAACAAAAGCTTACAAACTCATGGAAACTGAACAACTTTCTTTCTTTCTTTCTTTCTTTCTTTCTTTCTTTCTTTCTTTCTTTTCTTTTCTTTTCTTTTCTTTTTTTTTTTTTTTTTTTGGTTTTTCGAGACAAAGAGTTTCTCTGTGTAGCCCTGGCTGTCCTGGAACTCACTCTGTAGACCAGGCTGGCCTCGAACTCAGAAATCCGCCTGCCTCTGCCTGCCAAGTGCTGGGATTAAAGGCATGCACCACCACTGCCCTGAACAACTCTCTACTCAATGACTAGGTCAAGGAAAAAGAAAGAAAGAAATGAAAGACTTTCTAGATTTCAATGAAAATGAAGCCACAACATACCCAAACTAATGGGACATAATGAAAGCAGTGCTAAGAGGAAAGTTCATAGCACTAAGTGCCTTAGAAAAGGAACTAATGAGATCACATACGAGTGACTTAACAGCACACCTGAAAGCTCCAGAACAAGCAACAGAGACACCCAAGAAGGGTAGACATAGGAAATAAACAAACTCAGGGCTGAAATCAATAAATTGAAACAAAGAAAACAAATAATCAATGAAACAAAGAACTGGTTCTTTGCAAAAATCAGTAAGAAAGACAAACCCATAGTCAAACTAACTAAAGGGCAGAGAAAGAGAGAATGTTCACATTAACAAAATCAGAAATGAAAAAGGGGACATAACAATAGACACCCTAGAAATTCAAAAAATCATTAGGTCTTACTTCAAAACCCTGTACTCCATAAAATTGGAAAATCTAAAAGAAATGGACAATTTTCTTGAAAGATACCATTTACCAAAGTTAAGTCAAGACCAGATAAATAATCCACACAGCACAGATGTATAACCCCTAAGGAAACAGAAACAATCATTAAAAGTTTCCCAGGTAAAAAGAGCACAGGGTCAGATGGTTTTAGCAGAAACTCTACTAGACTTTCAAAGACGTGCTAATATTAATATTCCTCAAAATAGAAACAGAGGAACATTGCTAAATTCACTTTGTGGGGCTAGAGTCACTCTGATAGTAACCCTGATACCTAAGTCACACAAAGACTCAAAAAGAAAGAAAACAACAGACCAAGTTTTCTTATGAGCATCGATGCAAAAATACTCAATAAAATATTCTCAAACCAAATCCAAGAACATATCAAAAACATCACCCACCATGATCAAGTAGGTTTCATTCCAGAGATGCAGGGATGGATGAAACTCCTCATGATAAAAAGCCTTAGAGAGATCAGGGATAAAAAGTACATTCATAACATAATTAAAGCAATATACAGCAATCCAATAGCCAAAATCAAATTAAATGGAGAGAATCTCAAAGCAATTCCACTAAAATCAAGAATAAAAAAAGGCTGTCTACTCTCTCCATAGCTATTCAATATAATACTTGAAGTTTTACCTAAAGCAATAAGACAACTTAAAGGAGATCAAGGGGATAGATTGGAAAGGAAAAAGTCCAAGTATCGCAATTTGCAGATGATATGACAGTATACATAAGTGACCAAAAAAATTCTACCAGAGAACTCCTATAGCTAATAAACAGCTTCAGAAAAGTGGCCAGCTAGATGTAAAATAATTAATTAATTTAATTAAT